ATTTATATACTGCGGGTGTGTATAAGCTGAAAAGATCGAGTTCAGCTGCTCATTTACGAGCTTGAACTATTTGAACCGAATTTTCAAGTTGGTTTATTATCTGAATCGACTGGAATTGACTGGGTGCCCAATCCAATCGAGTGGGTGCTCAGGCACCCGTGGAATCCCTCTTGTTGCGCCCCTGAATATAACTGCCAGTTAATACATATTATGCTGCTGCACAAGTAGGGATACGTTCTCTTTGATTCGACATTTTTGAAGTGCATCTCGGGCCGTGTAATATACGAAGTCTGCAACAGACCGGATCAGTACGGGCCAGTACAGGTCGTCCGTGCTACGGAACCGTGTAAGTGCACCTTTAGATTATATTTTTAAAAAAAGATAAGTCGCAATTAATTATATAAAGAAGCAATAATAATGGTTTGATTATTCAGCGAAATGATAAATAGATAAATTAACTTTTTCCGTCAAATTTAAGATGTCTTGGAAGTATAATCAGGGCCGTACCGAGGCGTATAGTGATCTGCGTATAAAGTGATTCCACATCATAATTTAAATGTACAAATACATATTTAACTTTAATTTATATAATTATATGAATAAAAATGTTACAGGGTCTTTTTGTAATAAACATGTGCATTTTGGCCGCCGGTACCTTCGTTTTTATTTACACAGAAAACTGAAGGAAGCAGCATTAAAATAGAATATTTATCGCTGGTCATCTATTTCCTGATCTTTTTACGTTAATACCTTCATATTTTTCTTATTTAGTTATTTATTTATTGCACCAACAGTTTAGAAAAATTTATGGCTTTTATTAATTAGTTTATTAATATTTGTGATGCTTTGAAAAACGATCCCTGAAAGTTTATCTCCTTTGCTACAACATTTTTTTAAAATAACTGCTCATATCTAACTAGTCATACAGTACGTAAAAAGGAAACCCAATTTTCCATGCTCAATTAAAAAAAGTTATTTCTATCCGTAATAATCGCTGTTATTGGTGTAATTTTGAGACATTACGATTATGATAAAATTTATGTTTTTTAGGAGTTCTATGGTTCTTATCTTCCTTGCAATATTTAATCTGATATGTAATAATCTAGCAATTAATAATTTAAGTTTAACAGTAACTGACCAATCAAAGTTTGGTTACAAGTTTATGTATCGATTGTTGCAAGCTAATGTTGCAATTATTAGAAACTTATGTTTCAATTGTTGAAAGCGCATCTTTCAATTGATGGAAGCTTATGTTTCCATTGTTGCAAGCTTAAGTTTCAGTTGTTGCAAGTTTATGTTTCAGTTGTTGGAAGCTTAGGTTTCAATTGTTCGAAGCTTATGTTTCGATTGTTGCAAGTTTATGTTTCAGTTGTTGAAAGCTTATGTTTCAATTATTGAAAGAAGCGTAGAATTACATATTATTGCAAAGGATACATTTAAATAAAAACAAATTTGCCGTTTGCGAGAAAGGCATACATATATGCTACAATAATTAATTAATTATTGAATTTCTACAACGGAAATGTTTTTTTAAAAAGTTTCATTATTTTATGAGAAACATATTGAAGAAAGGCGAATGAAATCTGATCTTCGTAAACTTATTCAATAACATAAAATAAAAAACTTTTTGTAATTTGTGCTAAATAAATTTAAGTGAACTGGTTCTGTTCTAAAGGGTGACGCACTGTATATTTATAGCAAAACAAACTTATACCTATGTATTAAAATTACAAAAAATGTGGATAAATTTTGCTAAGGATAATTTGGTTAATTTATATTCTGTTTAAGCAATTAATATGCAGTTTTACTAAAAGATGTTCAAAATTATTAAAAAATTTTAGGTCGGTACAATGTACTGAGTTACCTACTAATAGATATAATAACCTTTAGTAAAACTTTTTATTTAACCCTTTTGATAATGAAAAATTAAGATACGGATATTTTGCATTCAACTTTATGTAAAATGTTTGTTAATTTGTAATGTGCCATGATAGATAGTTATAATATGTAATGTTTTCAAAATAATATAAATTAATAATATTCTAGNTATTAAACTCATCATCATCATCATAAGGTCGTCAGTCCTAAGACTGGTTGGACACGTACCTCCACTGTTTCCTATCCTGAGCTAAACTTCGCATTTCCCTAAAAATTGAACAACCCACATCCTTAACTATTTCCGAACATTAATCTAATCTAGGTCTACCTCTACCCCTCCTAACTCCTGTTTCTGCCTCTAATATGTCTCTGACTAGACCTTCATGCCTGAGAAGTCCTACCAACCTATCACGCCTATTTTGTATTGACTTCCATAGAGTTTCCTGTTCTCCTATTCTTTCCAATACCTCTTCATTTCTAACTATTGCACTAAAATAAAGAGGGTTGTATTTTAGTAGAGAATTATTAATTGATAAAAAAATCGATCTATCTATGTCGGGATAGTATGTTCTCAAACGTGGTAATTAAAGTAAAAACACTATGAAGTCCTTCTGAAATAATGACGTTTTTTAAAAGAAGATTTTTTTCTTTTTTTAATGATAAAACTGTTGAAATAATGTTAGAAGAAGAATGAAAAACTATCTGTAGCAAATTACTGTCTCAGTATTTACCAGAATAATCTAAGGGAGCACCAGGAAGTCCTTCCGATGGTGAAATTATGATTTAATAGCTACTAGATCTCGCAGGTCGGTTTGGCAATAAAAAGTAATTTTATATTAGTAAATCATACTTGTTACGTACATATAAACATTTTTAAACTTAATATCAATTAAATTTATACCACTACTTTTAGATTATAAGTGTGTACTATCAGTACCATAACAAGATCAATTATTTGTTTTAAACTGACTCTATAATAAGGTAACGTTAGATCAATAACGTCTGTATGTTACAATCTTAAAATAAAAACATAAAATCTCATTTGCTTAGGACTGGCAAAAAATGCTGTGGTATTGCTTTTGCAATGCATTAGTATTAGTTTGTAATGACTATTTAATAACACTTTTCAGGTACTTTATTAGCCGAATGTACCTACATTCTATTTGTCCATATGGGTATAATTAGTTATTACTGTTGTTTGTAGTTTTTATGTCTTCATCTAAAGAACGTGGACTAAGCGGCCATGACATTATATTTTATTATACGAAATATCCTTTTATGGACTTTAGTTAATTAGAAGAATCTTCGTCGCGTTCTTATTATCATTTTGAGTTATATGTATTCTATCCATTTTAAGTAAGGAAATTAAGTTTCATTCTAATTCGGTACCAACCTATAATCATATTAGTGAACCAGATGTTTTTTTTTTTGAANTGAAAAATCTGATAAAAAAAAACAGGCAATAACAACGGATACGTGTAAAATTAGCATTAATTTCCAGGGACCGTTTTCGAACCACTATAAACGTTATGTGTGATGCGTTGGCGGCAAAAATAGTGGATCACATGAGTGCTGGAGAACTTGGACGTACTGTACCTGGTGACAAACTAAACGCTGAACCACATGAATTGGTGGAAATTGCTAAAAATGATTCTCACCTGTAAAATACTTATTTATACATAATGTGAATGGTTATGCTAATTATCACTGAACTTTAATAACGCGATGGAAATGAATGAAGATGCAATACAAGTTTCACAATCGCAATCGGTGTAGACACTTTATTGATATTATCATAATTATATGACGATTCGTTTCGATCGGAATTTTTTAATTATTGATGATTTTGTCATTATAACTATTTAATTTTGTTATTGTTTATATTAAACTCGTTCAGTTAATAAGCAACTGTTAATTAATTATTATGACTACATGGTGCTTTTATTTGAGGTCAACAATTTCGCTTCGTTAAAAGTAAATAAACCAACATTGTATTTGAAATATGGAGTCGATTATAATCTATTTTTATCTTTTATTTTAACTATTTTTAATTTTCCATTATTTCATTTTAACAGCAATTATGTAGATAGATATGCTAATTGCTGTTACGAATTCATGAAAGAATATTTTGGATATTAAATTTAGTATTAACGGAGTAATTTACGACTCAATATAATTTTTAGGAATGGATTTTTTATTCAATATACGTAAGTATTAGATAATTAAAAACTTTTCGTTCATTTATAAAGGTTATCTTACACGGCTAGTGGTCCGGCGCGCCGGTTCGGAATCCGACGAACCGCGCTCCGCGTGATCGGTTAGATGCGACATAACATCATTTGGAACAAACGTCCACAGTATACAACTTAAATTTTCAATGAAATTAATGTAAAAATTATGTTATTCATATAGAAACTTTAAATAATGTATAATATACTTCAAAATCCATTAACTGTCTGTAATAAATAAATAATTTACGTCAAACTGAGAATGCTAAATTCAACTCGGTTATTCTACAACCGTTTTTTTTTTCACTTTTCACTACAATATAACCAGGGGCGCAACAACGTTACAGTTTGACTGGGTGCTCCCATCATAATACTATTTATATACTGCGGGTGTGTATAAGCTGAAAAGATCGAGTTCAGCTGCTCATTTACGAGCTTGAACTATTTGAACCGAATTTTCAAGTTGGTTTATTATCTGAATCGACTGGAATTGACTGGGTGCCCAATCCAATCGAGTGGGTGCTCAGGCACCCGTGGAATCCCTCTTGTTGCGCCCCTGAATATAACTGCCAGTTAATACATATTATGCTGCTGCACAAGTAGGGATACGTTCTCTTTGATTCGACATTTTTGAAGTGCATCTCGGGCCGTGTAATATACGAAGTCTGCAACAGACCGGATCAGTACGGGCCAGTACAGGTCGTCCGTGCTACGGAACCGTGTAAGTGCACCTTTAGATTATATTTTTAAAAAAAGATAAGTCGCAATTAATTATATAAAGAAGCAATAATAATGGTTTGATTATTCAGCGAAATGATAAATAGATAAATTAACTTTTTCCGTCAAATTTAAGATGTCTTGGAAGTATAATCAGGGCCGTACCGAGGCGTATAGTGATCTGCGTATAAAGTGATTCCACATCATAATTTAAATGTACAAATACATATTTAACTTTAATTTATATATATCCACATGGGATTTTTAGGAATTTATTACAAACGAGTGTTACATTTGATGATGCTAAATTTCGATATTACTATTAACAGTATACAACTCAGTTAGTGTTCGACCAAAGCAGGACTTTCTACCGAAACAGAAACCGAAATCGAATCTTCGGTATATGTTTCAGTTTCGGCTGAAACCGAAACTTTTTCAGACATGTTAAAATCTGCTGTTTGGGACCTCATTAATTGAATATTTCAGTTGCGTTCATAATCACGTACGCAGAGTTTCAGTGCGGCCGAAGGTTCGGTAGATTTTTTGTCGAAATCGAAACTGATGCCGAAGCTAGATTTTTTTTCCGAAACCGAACTTTCGGTCGATCACTGCAACTCTGACACTATGCCGAGAGATTTCGAAATCCTTAGCTAGCTCGGGTTAGCTGCTAAGAAAAGCTCAATTGGTTACGACTCTGGTTCTGAGTCATGATAACGGGTAGGAGAAGGAAGGGGTAATCGAGAAGTGTAGAAAAAGTTTAAAGCTATCCTCTGACCGGCGGAAGCGAGAATAAAAAAAATAGTTTTTGAAGTTATTCTACAAATATTGCTATTTTTAAAACATGATGAGTATCTTGGCCTGAGAAAAACAGGGTAGGAAACGTACCCCTCAGCTGAGGGCTTTTCCATAAAATGAAGGAACAGGGAACGTAACCTACATTATAGGTACGTAGCACATAATAAATGAAACAATTTTTATTTAAAATTAAAAAAAGAAACAATTAAAAATTTCTGTGGGACGGAAGCTTTTCCTACTACCTTATTCTCCTTCTTCTCCCTTCGTACTCGGTTTCATACCGAAGGATACTAAAGCCAAACAATATTTTATCAGAATTATTTCGTCAAAAATTAAAAAAAAATGTATAATTTATCCCGTAAGAGTAAAAAGAATTAATCAGTGTATGTTAGTAATGCAACAAAGAGTAGGAAGTTTTGGCAACTTTTTAGGAAGTGTTGCATGGTTTTGTTTTCGCTAGACATTGCTCAGTTGTATATTTTTCGTTAGTTGTAAATTTAAAATTCAGGAAAAATAATTTTGCGCAAAACCTTCACTTACTGTGGTAATCTTCCATTAAATAATTAAACAAGAAATATTGCATTAATTTTACCTATTAAGTTATCACTACAGAATAAATCATGATAAATATCAATTTGATATTGCTAGTAACATTTGACAAAGTGGCTTTTATTAATTAGTATTAAAGATTGAGAGTTTAATCATCAATGTATTCTATTAAGTAGGAGATAAAAAAATACAACAAAATTCGTAAAGTCTGTAGAATCGTTTTGATATTAACATTACGGTTTATTTACAGTCTCAAACGCATCTTAAAATTCCACCGGGGGTTTGTNTAATAATATTCTAGGTATGTAACTTGTGTTCAGGATATTGAATTGTATATAAATACATCAATTCGATTTATAATTCATGTAATTTTAATTATTTGTAACTATATCGTTAGAGTTTTTAGATTTTAAATGGTTGTCTTGATAATCGTTTTCAAAATTTACTAGTTTCTTAAAATTTATACTTTAGTTAATATTTTCTTTTTAACTATTTTTGTTAGTGAATATTTTGGTTGGAATATTTGTCTGAGACATTGTCTGTATAATTGAATTGTTTTGTTTTTGTTGTAATATTTATATACAAAAAGCTACTGTAAAGAAACGAAATATTGAAAATAAGAAAATGCAGCAAAATACGTGTTTAAATTTTTCGCGGGTCGCCAGTTCTAGCTGTTAACAGCCAGATGGCACCTCGCTAGCGCTAGACGGCCATTCTGAACCGCTATCGTGCTGATGCGGCAACACCACGCTGTTCTTTGTTCATCGTTCGAGTGTAACAGGCGCCGCATCTCGCAGTTGAAAACGCCGGTTGAGAAATTAAGTAAGTTATTATAATATTTTCATCGTGTATGAACTAATTTTTGCATCTCATCGGGGACAGTGTATTAGTTCTGTTTATTAAGTATAACTTATAACTGACAATGATTATTACAACTATACGATAGCAACGAGTTTTAGTGGTGCTGGTGCCACGGGCGCCATGATGGTTCGGTCGTTCGTCACTTACTCGGTTAGTCATTGCAGTATAAAACATCCTGCACAATATACAATCATTATTTAGTGATAATAACAAATATTGTACATTTTTATAAGTGAAAGACAATGACAAAGATATAGACAATGTAGGTACAAGTAACGATGTCGTAATTTATTGCTTCCCCCTCTCCTCATAAACATTGACTTCAAAAAGGTAAGTTTCTTTTAGTTACATATGTAAAGTTAAATTTGTTTAACAATTTAATACTAGATGAATGCTTTTATAATTAAAAATAAAATAGGGTTGATGACATAGGACTACAAAGGTACATTATTTATTAATAACAATCTTGGTTTGACAACAATACCAGAAGTACCTATTTATAATACATCACGGTGGTAATTTATTTAGATTTATTTTGATGAATTGTTTATTACATTCCAGCTTCTTATTTAATTGAAATTTAGTACTCTGGATTTACACTATGTGCCAACGTTTCGTTCTCGATTACAATGGGGCACCTCCAGGGTTCTTCCGATGTAGGTTTGAAGTTAGTTATTATTATTTTGTAAGTCCAGGTCCTACCTAATTCACCTACATTGGAAGTGTCTTTAGGATATCATATAAAATCGAGGACGAAACATTGGTAATTGAAAAATCAGAATTCTGAACTTCACTGTAAAAGAACTTGCTCAAGCCTACAAGACTGTATTTATTAAAATTTTTAAATAACAGTTTTAAATGATTCATTATTATTATTATTTGTCTAATATTATATTGATTCACTTGACCATTTCTGCGTTTTACAATACATTTTATTTCACGTCATACTGCCCCTTACAGGGCTGCATGGGCTCAATGGATCTGAAAGTGTTTTACTTGTCTGGTTTAATGACGCTATTATGTAACTAAATCCTTTTTTATTTTGGTATGTGACTGGGATAAGTCTCCAGATATATGAGTAGTATGACTTTTGGTTGTTTTACAACTAAGTTGTTTGTTTAATATCCGCATCTTTTGGTTAAAATGTAAACAAATAAATATTTCTTCAGTTTGTTCACTTTCAAAGACTAAATATTACCTAACCTAACCCTAATCTAACAGAGGTTAGCATTTTAGATTACGGAGATTTTGGTTATCGAATTTGGGGATATGTGATCTATTGGTTTTTAAATTTTTATTTTAAAATTGGAGTTCTATAATAATACACTAGCCTTTCGCATATACAGTTAATAATGTAATTAAACAAGAGTAAAAAGAAATGTAGAATTTGAATTTAAATAATCATATAAATTCTATAGCTTTAATAAAATTACGTACTAATACTAATAGAGATACCCGTGTTCCTATCTACACATAGCTTATTTTTGAAATACTGGCGTAAAGGGGTTGACAATTGCTATGATTAGAATATTTAACTATTGCAAATATCGGCTTTTTCTATTAATTAGTAAATAGTACTTCATAATAAATATATTCTTTTGCTTTTTTGTTTACTACAACTTAAATGAACTAATAATTTGTTTTAATGTGTAATGCAGGAATGTAGTGATGTAAAGGTACTTACAGCTAATGATTTTAGTTGATATTGTCATTATTGTTTATTTAATTTTTTATTATCACCAGCTAATACTATTAATTATTATAATTAACTAATAGAAGTATAATAAAGACTATGTTTGATAAAATTAACCGCGTCAATAAGTAGGTAATGATAGTNTCCACGCCGTCATACTATATAAATACATATCAAACCCTACGTAAATTTATTTACAGTTATTGTAAAATGATGCATTTTTAATTTTAAATTAGTTGGTAATTCTTGCAGGAACTTCAAAGCATAATATGTCTTTATTCCCAGGTGCTGTAAGAGCCCAATGTACTACCAGCTTTAACTAAAACAAAAAAAAAATAAAATAAAAGCACATGATTTTCTTAGTCGTAATAGTTTACACACTTAGAAACATCGAGGAAATTTGCATAGTAATTTTTAAACATTAGGCGACCCATACATTTACAATAATATTGCACAACATAGATGATTGGACAATACTATTAGCGGTGTAGGGATAAATAGTGTTCTTTTTCTTTATCAGAGGTTTTAACAATTGCAGCAATTCTTCGAACTTTGCAATATCCATTCTCATATAGTTTTTGAAATCGTTTTCTTGAGTTAATGACAAGTCCTTTAAAAGTCTTTCGTGAGTGTAGATTTGTCTTCTTTTAAACCATTCTTTGGCCCATATTCGTTTTCTTTCTTTTCCTGTTTTCAACAAAATTACTAGCACGACTGCAACCAAAATTTCGTCGTCAGACATGTTTCTCGCATGAAAATATTGACGCAAATGGCTTGTCAATCTTATTGCTAAATATTATTGAACGTTTGGATTCAACGGGAGTATTCAATATTATTGCACAATAAAAATATTGTGCAAAATTATTGTAGGTGTATGGGCCGCCTTAGTGGTGAACAAATTGACAAAATGTCCAAGAAATTTATACGATAACATTAAAACAATAAAATAGGGGACATATATTCTCAAGAAACTATAAGAAACCTAATAAAAATATGTTATATTTAATTCTTAGTTTAGTATAATAGTGATGATTTAATGCATTTTATAAAATATTAAATCTTAGTCAATCTACCCCTGGCCCGGGGTAGGTAGACCATATGCCCGGGGTAAGTTGACTCATGTACCAGTAAGAGTCAAATCATGAGAAGGAGCAAATAATTAAACATTTTTTTAATATAATTAAGCCTTTTGTTAAAAAATAAACTGGCTAAAGTTTCCTCTTCTAGATTAGTAAAAATTTGTCAATTTTTTATATATTCCACTGTGTCCAGGGTTAATTCTGCTCTCGTCAATTTCGGATTCTGTTCTAATTTTTCTTTTAATTTGGCCACGTAACGATTTAAAAGTCCAATAAAAAGTTAATTTATGTGTTGTTTTCAACTACATATTTCATTGGGGTTGGTTGAATAATTATTCAACCAGCCCCGAAAAAAATTGGTCTACCAACCCCAGACGCCATTTTTAATTTTGATCGCATGGCTAGCCTAAACACTGCCGTTGACTTGAAAAATAAGATATGAAATATGATAAATGTGCCCTCATTAAATGCTAGGACTAATAGAAAAATGATTTACATAAAACGAGTAGGCATCAGATCAAAAAATACAATATATCAAAATATTACTTATGTGATTGAAATATGAAAAACATGTCAGTGTTCGAAAACAACGCACGACCGCGATGTGACGCTTCAGACAACTGAGCGGGACGCGAAATGTAATGCTTGGTTATGATCAGATGACATAGTTCATACACTGTCGACGAGTTTTCGGTAGTTAGTCTACCTACCCCTACAGTCAACCATCTCCGGTCTCCCCTACATTAGGGCTATACCAGTGAAGCTATTTGTTAAAAGGTTTAAAGGTTATTTATTAGGTTGCGAAACTCTCCAACACCAAATTATAATTTTTCAGAGAAAGTTGTTCTTGTATCATAATTAATTTTTTTATCATAATTGTAAGAGACATTTTAAGTAGGATAATGCTTATGAAATAATTTGTCAGCGGGTCTGAGGGTTATTTGTAGGGTGCGAAACCCTCCAATATTAATTTATGATTTTTTAGTGGAAGGTTTTATTGTCCTACAATAACTATTTGTATTTTAGCTACAAGAATTATTTAACGTAGGATTATGCCTATGAAAGAATAATTTCATATTGAGGGGTTTACTATGCTATAACTAAACTTTAGCCCTGCTGATAAATTATTTCACGGTTCTAATCTTAAATTAAATGACTCATGAAGCTTAGATACAAAAAATAATTGTGGGACAAGAAAAACTTCTACAGAAAAGTAGTAAATTAATATTGAAGGGTTTCGTATCCTATAAACAACTCTTAGACCCCCGCTGACACATAATTGCATATGCATTATTCTATTTAAAATGTCTCTTAGGGCTTAGTTACAAGAAATTTGTGTGGAACAAGAAAAAATTCCTCTGAATAGCGCTAAGTTAATATTGAGGGGATTCGCACCCCGTAAATAACCCGCACACCCATTCACAATTTGCGAAAACAGATTTATAGTTGAATGAAGATTCGGGCTATAGGGCCGTGGTCTGAATGAACTATTCCGTCTAGACGTTTCGTCAGCTACTGCGGCTGACATCCTCAGTGGTGGTGCTGAGTTGACAACGTGAACGTAGATTATATCTCGAAGTCTCGACAGCGACTGGGTAATCCTGATGACTGAGGATGTCAGCCGCAGTAGCTGACGAAACGTCTGGACGGAATAGTTCACTTAGACCACGGCCCTATAGCCCGAATCTTCATTCTACTATGGATTCTAGCCGTGAAAGCCTTTGTTCTTAGATTTATAGTTATTTTTCGATAGCTGTTTTATTTATTTTCTGTCTTAAATTCCTCAATGTCCACGCCGTCATACTACAAGAAATGACTTTCTAGGTCAATTTGCAAAACCGGTGACTTTTACTTAATGAGGTCTTGTATATATATACTTATATTGAGTTTTTATTTAATTTGTTTGGCTATGAGTTGTTTACGTAATTATAATGAATGTACTTGACATTACAAAAGAAATTAATAAGACCTCTTGCATGTTTTCCATGGACAAACAACTACGTTTAATTTGTAGTAATTATTAAATTACAAGTAATATCAATAAATCAAAAAGAAGATCACCTTTGATTTTTTTTTTGTGGTTAAATTACATGCCAGGTATATCAACATGTCCCTTAACTTTATTTATAAGTTATTAGCAATGCAGCAATAATTCTTGGTGTTATCTATTCCCTACCGCCATCACCGATATCATGTTAATACTAGAAGGACCATAATTTGTCGCCAATTTGTATCGTTCTACGATATTTATATTTCGATAAGTGTAGTGCTAGCTTGACGGCCCCTAATCGTTTTTCAAAGATTAGTTCGAGCCTGGACTTACGACAAAATAGGAAAATGTGCCATCGTTCAGCGACAAATTAAAGCCCCTATAGTATTTTTCTACGCCATTTATATTTTGAGATACGATATGATTGCGCAGTGCCAGTTTGATGGCCCCTAATCCTGTTTCACTGATCAGACCGACGCTGTACTCGCGACAAAATAGGAAAATGTCTCATCGTTCAGTGACAAACTATAGCCATTATTGTATTTTTTTAAGCAATTTCTATTCTGAGATACGGTATGATTTCATATTGCTAGCTTGACGACCCCCAATCGCCTTTCACTGATTAGTTCGAGCTTGGACTTATGACAAAATGGGAAAATGTATCACCGTTCAGCGACAAACTACAGTCATTGTCGTATTTTTCCACGCTATTTATATTCCAAGATACGAAAAGATTACGTAATGTCAACTTGGCGGCCCCTAATCGTTTTTCATTGATCATTTCGAGGCTGGACTTACGACAAAATAGGAAGATATGTCATCGTTCAGCGACAAACTATAGCCCTTATCGTATTTTTCTACGCCATTTCTATTCCGAGATACAATATGATTGCGTAGTGTCAGCTTGACGGCCCCCAATCGTTTTTCATTGATCAGGTCTAGGCTAGACTTACGACAAAATAAGAAAATGTGCCATCGTTCAGTGACAAACCATAGCCTTTGTCGTATTTCTCTACGCCATTTCTATTCCGATATACAATATGATTGCGTAGTGTCAGCTTGATGACCCCCAATCGTTTTTCACTCATTAGATCGAGGCTGGATTTGCGACAAAATAGGAAAATGTACCAGTGACAAATTATAGCCATTATAGAATATTTGTACACCATTTCTATTCCTAGATTCGGTAAGATTTCATATTGCCAGCTTGACGGCCGAAATCTTAGCGGCTCTCCAGGCGTTTTTCGTAAGACAGCTGGGTGGGTAAAAGTAGCGACAAATTATAGTATTTCTCAATACCGTTTCCATTTTGCTGTAGTATCACCTTGATATCGGGTTAGCATTTCGTCTAATTTTTACAAAATTTTTGGATTTGGTAACAAATGTATTTAAGAAATAAGAGGTATAACATTATCGTGCTAATTAGATGTATCTACTTGCTGTTCATTAATTTATTAGATAATAAATTTAACGTTTATTAGATGGACTGAAAACAAATTTTTTACAATTTGTTTCTTTCATTGGAACATCGCATTTAATTAGCTTATTACATTATACCTTTCAAGGTTAACGATTGCAGTTAATTCTTGTCACGTTATTATGTCTTTTTTTCTAACGATTAAACATTTAAATATCAGAATATGTTAAAAAGCTTAATCCGTGAAGGTTATTTTTTGTGATGATATACAAGTTACCGTGTGTATTTTGATTATTTAGCAATTGCTGTTGAACGACTTGTTGTTCTGTGTAACAATTTTAAAAAATTGGTTTTAATTCATCCAGTTTATTAAACTAAATGGTATAGCTTCACTGTTGGAAATCAAAATTTATGGTTTTTAGTTTCTTTCTTTCATGCTATAGGTACATGCTAAAGATATCGTTTTATTTTTCTCGAAATAATGTGTGACTTATCTGACAATTGTTTTCATTTATTTTTTGTATTTTCTTATGTAATTTTATCTCGAAGGTATTAGGTACTTAAGCCGCGTAATATAACATTTGCTAAAAGTAAAAAATCTCTGTTTAAAACGTATAACATTTAAAACAATTGACCAAAACTGAAGACCAAGGAACTGAAGACAGGTATAGGTTAGGAATTTTGAAGTTTCGGGGAAAATTCCGCAGCTTTTATTAGTTGTTTAAGTGTTTCTTCATAAAACCTCTGCGTTTTATAAAATCCGTGATTTTGCTTCTACTAAATAAAATGTCGGCTATGATACTTACCCTTGGATAAATGTCTAGAATGTCGAATTTATTTTTATACACATATTTCTGTCCCGATTTAAGTGGACAACTCGCTTTAGTTTCTCCATCAGCTTCATACACTTGATTACATGCATTGGTACCGTCAACACCAATAAACGGAAATGGAATTCCAACGATTTGAGCGAAGACCGTGTTCGATAACTTTGGTATGTCTTCAGCTAAACAAATATATAAAATAATCAGTATTACTTACAGTATATTTTTAAGGTTCAGATAAAAGGCTATTAAAGTTTATACAGTAGAATCCGCTTATAATGACATTGAAGGGAAATGACAAACACGTCATACTAAGCGGGCGTCATACAAAGCATAGTCTTAGAAAATAAACAACATTCTATTTTGGTTAGTTATTTAGTTTAATAGAGAGAAAAACTACAAATTGTATATATTTATTAACAAATAAAGAAAAAGACCGATTAATTCTAATATCAATATACATAAGGGTCAGACAAATGAGCGAAAATGTTATTATTAATCATTTGAGTCACTATAGCCGGATATGATTTTTTGAGAATCAGTCATAATAAACGATATGTCATTTTAAACGTTATATCCAAACTTTCCTATAGAGAATTTAATATGAAAACCAAATTTAACACTGCAGTTACTTCATATTAAGCGGTTGATCAATATAAGCGGAGTCATAATAAACGAATTTCGCTGTACTTTATAGGTTCTTAAAAAATGAGCGAAATTGAATTGTTATGGCGACGCATTTAGTAAGTGTGTCTGTCCTTATGTTTAGTTTTTAATTTATTTTCCGTGGTTTAAAAACTATTTAACAGGATAATTAATTATTTGTGAATACAGTAAGAGTCTATTGTCTAGACACTCGAAAATAAGTGAATTGAAAAAAGCAATAGTTATTTACATTATCGATTTCTTCACGTTAGAGCAACAAATAATATATTGTCCACAACTTCTGATCAATTATTGTTCGATATTTTATAGTACCATTTAAGACGTACTACTTTGGCCATTGTTTCGTCGACTTAATTCTAAAATGGTCTTCATGAAAAATTGTTTTACTTTAACGAAACAATATGCAATCTACGTTCACCCTGAAGGTCCATTTCAAATATTGGTGAATGAATTTTTGAATTCTCATGGGTAGTTTCTCTAAATGTACAAACATTGCCTCATTATAATATTGGTATAGAAGATAATATTATCCGTAGATTACTTATTTTAATTCAAATGGAAACTCAAACATCTTTTTTCTAATGTTTTATAAGCAATAATATATTTTTTAAAACTGAAGATTGTAATGAACAATAAAATTTTATTACGTATGAGATAAATGTCACTATTACAAAAATTAACCTGTTTTAAACGTTTCCAGGTAGATTATTATTAGGTCATTAATTTAAAACATAGTATTTCAGGTAGATACGTGACGAGGCATTAAATTACTTAAAACAAACAACCTCTTAGTTGCAGAATTTAAATTAAATAAAGCCAATTAACTATTTTTAAAGATGTTTTCGAATGTTACGGAAAAATACAAGTGGTCAAAGATCAAAAGCAAGGTAATGTGAGGTCGTGTTTTGGCGCACGTAAAATAAAATATTTAGATGTTAGGTACACGAAATACTCGAAGAAATATTTATGCGAATACATATTTACTGATAAAACAGGTTTGGTTGAGATAGGTTAGGTAATATGCTTATAAATATGTATAAAACCTATTTTACGAGAACATCTGAAATTCAGGCAATATTTCAGTTTACATTTTTCGATTCGATTTCACATGAAAACTTGTTTGCTTTTGACGAATTTAGAAGCCTCTCTAACTACTGACTTCATTGCCGAACTTTCTTTCCGAGGTCCGTATATAGTTTTTTATGATACACTTCACCCGAAAGTACGATTTTTCCTTATTTCAGAGAAGTGAAAGTGCATCACAATCTCCTACCTAAGAAATCGCACTTACTGTTTATTATAACATACTTCGTATGGAGATTGTGAAAAAAATTATTTTTTCGAGTTTTGGACAATCCCTAACGAACCATATCGAAAACTCCTGGAGAACTCGATTCTTTAGGGTAAAGGGAAAACATGAGTTCGCGACTTCAAAATATATTAGTATCGAAGTTGAGCCAAGCGCGAGTACTTGCAGTAGTAGTTCTGATCATGACTCAGAAGGAAATAGAAACTGGCGATTTCGACGGCAGTCATTTTTAAACTTGATAACTTATAAATATCCCATTTTCGGTCGGTCGAAAAATTGCTAACACTCGGAGTTCTGAGAAAAACATTTCTAAGTGTGTCGTTAAGTCAGTCGGTGATAGCTTTTGGTTAGAACTGCAGTGACAACTCAAAATTCGTATGAATTTGTGTTTTGCAGAATTATGACGCGATGGAATCTGGTCTAATGAAATACACACCGTGTGGTAATTCTAATAAGAAGTATTGTAAGAATTCACGCTTACTTCAAATTTGGCGCTAATATATTTTGAAGTCACGAATGCGTAGGTCGCTCTTTAATGACCCTATTTTTGAACTGACCCCTACTTAATCGAGTTCTCACGAAAATGGAAAAAGACTTATATATATAGTTTTTTAGGGACTGCCCAGAACTTCCACCAAAACTTTTCTGCGATAAAAGCCTGCGATATGAAGTTAGCCCCCCAAATTTCATTTCTTTTTTATTATTGTTAAAAATGCAGAACTATTGGCGCACCTATCGAGAACTACAGAATTATTCCTAGAAAATAAACCAGTCACAAGAAAATTCAAAATTGATGAATTTACAAAACTTCTGTTTGTTATCGCTGCACTTTTTCATAGTTTACTACTGCAGTACAATTTAACATTTAGATTAAAATTAAGGTTCAGCCTTAAAAAATGAAAAAATCGATTAAATGGCACATTATGGTCAATATTGCAGTGTCAGGCAGACAATCAGGGGTAGATGTATTTGCATGTAGTGTATCGACTTATCATTTTCACCATTGGGCAAACGTAAAATATAATAAATGATATAGTTTTGACTTACTGGGACTAAATGTAAATGAGGCGTGAGCTGTGTTCTTCTTCCTCAATCTGCATGGTGGTTTATCACATCCGCTAATCGTAATCTGACCGTCTTGTAGAGGAGGGCCATCTAATGCATTAAAGAAATAGACAAATTAATCAAATACTACACAAAATATATGCATACATAGAGTAATAACCAGCGCAAAAGAAATCAACACTGGCAAGTTGGTAGGATGGTTATTACGATTTACATAATTGAATTAGAGGAAGCAAAATGTGAAACGATTTCCCACTTCAAATACCAAATCTAAAATAGTTCTGAAAAATGTTTCCGAATTAAGTATAAACGCAAAGTAGATATTTCCTAAAATTGGTTTTTAACCTGAATTATATACCTACCTGTATACATACATACAGTTCATTTCAAGTAGTTAGAGATGTGACCTTGGAGAAATCTGCGCGAAGATAGAAAGAATACACAGCAGGCATGAGCAAGACAGAAATAGTTGGAACAAGCTTGAATGAGCAGAGCTCTCGATGAACGGTCTTAGGAGATCGGCTAGAACTATACAGTACTAGACGAAAATGTTTAACAATTTGTTAAAACAAAAATGTATATAAATTAACAATAGAAAACAAAAGAAAAGTTTTATAGGTGTGTGGAGCGTTAAGTTAATTCACTTGTTATTATTTTTGGCTAAATATGCTTTTAAATTAAATTTTAACGAGGCAATTTAAATAGTCATTGTTCTTTCTAATAGCATTAAAGTTTGTCAGTACGTATATTGTACATTTTTCAGTGTTGGGATCATCTTTTCAGTAGCATAAAAAATATTCACCGTTTTTCTTATAACATCTTGGTCAAACTTGCCGAAGTCAGTTTTAGGAAGTAGGTGTCTCTTATTATATTTGGGTTTCATAAAACATCTGGCCTCCTTCCTATACTTTTTCCTTCTCCGAAGCAACCCTTCTTATGGTTGATAAACTTAGTCCGGTACACGTTCTTGTACTTTTTCAAGTCGAAGAGTAGAACCTTTTTGCTCTTTTTCAGCGTTCGTTTATAAATTGTGGTAAATTTGCAACGAGTTCTTTACACTGAATACTTAACGCTTGTTTTCATTTTCTGTTGTTTTCCATGGCAGTTCAAATTTTGCAGACGGTACTGTATACTTTGGTCTAGTTCTGGCTCGATGATCGGTGGAGAAATGAGCGCCGCAACTTGGAATTATGTTACGGCGCATCCTGATAAAGGCAACGGGCATATCTCTAACTACTTGAAATGAACTGTAGGTACATTATTTTTGTATTTCTTCGTTATACCTACGTATACATACATTTGATTTAGAAAAAGACCAAAAGACCTGTTTTGTGTTTTAACAGAATTTAGCTGTAATAGCTTATGTATATAGAGATAAAACGTTGTTACGTAAAAGTTTAATTCGATATAACTGAAATCGTGTGTAAGTGTAAAATGTTGTTGCGTAATAACGATTTATTTATTTATTTTCAGTAGTTAAAGGTACTTATTCATGCAAAACTCCTTCAATTAAAAAAATATCTAATTAATTAAAAAATTATCAAATTTTCTATTACTATTTTTATTGGATCTTAATGGTAGGTTGGTTTTATTGAGGAAACAATTAAAATGTTGGTATACCAGCCAAAAAGGAAATTCATTGACTTAAATACGTGTATTTAATGTTTATTTTCAATCAAAACTTAATTGGGTATACATAAATAATGCAGGATCATTAAAAATAAATTTTCAATTCGGATATTCTTTCTAATGGAAAGTTATGAATACTATCTTTGTTTGATATAAGAATTGTGAAGTTTCTCTAGTAAAAATATCACAGAATATGTATTATCTACGTGCGCTACAAAAGCATACATCTTTTTTTTTCATTACAATTCGTTAAATTAAAGCATAGGTCAAACGTTTTAGTAATACAGCAACAGAAAAAATACCTATCCAGTAATTGTTTCGATTGTTATAGATACAGTACCTACATAATAGATTTTGTTTCGAGGTTTCTATATAAAAATAAATTTCAGAGTGAAAATATTGCGAAGTCCTTTCTTCCTTTAAAATTTTTATTTTACACGAATTTTTACATTACAATTGCAATAACGATTTGTCAACGGAATTGACTATTCCAAAATTAAAGTATTGGTGATGTCTATTTTAAAATCTGCATTAAAATTGGATATTGATTTGTAACTCTGCGAGTTTTATTTATTTTATTTTATTAATAAAGAAGAACTTACTTTCACACTGTTGCACTTTGGTGGCTTCTGAAACGACAAGTAAACAGAATAGAAACCCGAAAATTGCAAACTTCATTTTGAATTTTCCTCAACAATTCACGAACAGAACGACACTCAGACTGAATAGAAACTAACCACAAAACAGAACGAACTTGTGGTGGTAGAAATGAAAGTTCTCTTCCACTTCTTGCCTTTTGTTCGAATAATACGTCTGTCCTCTATTTATATATGTATATGTACGTAAGTTTCTTTCCGCATCTTGGATCGAACACGCGACCAGTATATTAATTTTTTATTTGAATCCACAGAACGTCACTCCTGTAAATTAACATTAATTTATAGAACCAACAAATTCAAATGTTTCTGGAAAATTTTATTTTTGTTGGGAAAATTCGCATACACTGCAACACTCTTTTCTAGTATTACGTAACTCAGATGGTCTTGTGAAAAGTTATGGTTCGTTAGAGGAGAATTGAAGCATCACGTTAGGTAACATTATGTTATTGTTAAAACAAAAAAAAATGACGTTCTAGTGATTTTTCAGTATTTTACGTGACACGTTTAAGGGGAGGGGGTGTCAAAAGTCTTTAAAAAACATTTCTGAATCGTGACCACTGTAATCAAATGAATAAAACGCACCGAGGAAAATTATTTTCAAAACACTTTGTACTTACAAAATTTGAAATTTAATGTACGTACTATGTAAGCGTAAGTGAAAAAGTTCTAGTAAAGGTCACGAAAGGTCGTTGGTATTATAATTAATTAACCATTGCACTGTCTTGCATTGATAAAATAATATTTTCTTGGCAGTAGATAGGTATGCAAATGTTTATAACATTGTAATTGATACATATGTACTTGCTAGTGAGAAATTGTTTTTTAATCATTGTCACTAGCATACCTTCATATCAATTATATAAAAAGGACTTTCATAGTAAGTGCAACTTTAAATAGACCTGACTTTCCAACATCTTCATGTAATTTTACAAAGGAGAATAAATAAGTGTCTGTTTAATATTTTTCTTTTTGTACCTAGATTTTTCTTAAAAATAATTAAGAAGTATTTTGCTTTATCAATTTATTATACTATTAGGTTTTACCCGCGGCTTCGCTTAGTATTTTATTTTGGACCCCATGTCCTTTTCCGTATTCCTCGTAATATGTGTACAAAATTTTTGACGTGACAACGTCTTATAATTCGATGGAGCCGGTTGCACGCACGAAAAAACATGACTCATGCGGCGTTACCTCGCTCTGAGGCGTTCCATTTAAGGCTTGAAGTGCAAGCGAGAGCGCGGAACGAGCGACAAAGAGGCACAATCGGCCTCCGCGTTCGGCAGAGTTCGACATCTGTCTCTCTCCTACTTGAGTGAGCGAGCGTCCGCGTGGACAGCTGCTATACAATAATATATTTCCATTAACCTCCTTCTCTATATCCATACAAAATATCTATCAAACAAATAAAATTAAAATTTTCTTTTGAAAAATGAAACCATTCCATCAGTATTTTCTTATGACGTTGTCACGTTCAACTATCGTCAGTAAACCGACATTACAGATAACCGATTTTTTTATAATAGTATTTTACCCTCGGCTTAGTTCGCGTTGATGCCCTAAATACGTGACATAGATCATCCACGATCACATAAAATCAATTTTTATATTTTTCTATCTCTCGAGAACAGTATTTTTTCTGGATAATATGTACCCTAGGTTCTTGTCTGTATCCTTGACAATGTATGTACAAAATTTCATGATTTTACTCGCGTTGATCTTCTTCTAAATAGGTGATCATCATCATCATCCACGATCATATAAAACCAATTTTTTCTATCGTTTGGCAACCATATTTTTTTTCTAGATAATAGATACCCTATGTCCTTTCCTGTATCCTTGACAATGTGTGTACAAAGTTGAGTGTACTTGTAAAAAAATAAATTAATAAAATTCCGTGTTTTCAAATTGCATGCTAATGACATTAAAGGAAGTTATAAAACCCTCGTAAAAATAAAGACTTGAATCTTTTGTTGGCACAAGAATAGGAAAACTAGCTATGATCATGAACTAGCTGAAATGAAAATGAAAATCCAATCTGCTAAAGTTAATTTTAGACCTCATAAACGTAGACGTTAGTCTTAACCCAATGTTTAATGTAATGTTTAACGTTCGACTTACAGTATCCAATTCAATAGAGTAGTATGAAAATGTTCTGCAGTAAAAATAATTATATCAAATTAAATGCCTGCAAAACAGTCAGTTATGTAAAAGTAGGTAAATTGTGCAGAATTTGATATCATCCTGAGCGAACTGTTGACAGGTGAAAAAAATTAAGAATCTGTTACAAGGAAAAAAAGACCATGTAAGAAATTATTATTAGAGTTATGGATCAAGGTAAATTGTATAGGTATAAAACTAGTTTTATATCAATCTCCTTACATACTTGCAATTATTTTCATTCTCAAGTACGATCTTAGAACTCGCGAATTCTTTTGAAAAATAGGAAATTGAGCTAAAAACTTAAAATTTCGAACATGTAATTTCTTACAATTTGTTTTTGATATATTTAAATGAAGTAATTTTACTTACAGATATAATTCTTTAAAAAATTAGCTTAGATTACCTGTTGAAGAACGTAATTCTTGTTAGACTATTATTAGTCTACTTAACAATAAACAATTCTGGACTTTTAGTTTATTTCATCTCATTTTGAAATACATCTGACCTTTCAGTTATTCAGAAACACTGTGAAGACGCCTTATTTTATTTTGAAGTACAGCTATGTTATAGAAAACTAAACAACGAAAAACATAAATAATTTACTATCATGAATGAAAATAAAGAACATGTGGATTGCATGTCTTTCAGTACTAGGCCTTAAATCACCTTTTTAAAAGTTAAAATATTTTTTAGTTAAGAATCTTTTTATCTTTCTTATCCAGGGATAAATTATTAATTGCCAAAAAGGTTTCCTGTCTAATACGAGTATCGTTTACAAGCAAATGACATAGGCCAAACGAATGGATTATTAAAAAGTAGAGTTAGAATCCATCAAGTTTCCTAAAATTTACGTTAGACAGACCTTAAAAACTTAGATATTGTTTTCCTAACATAATAGGTATTTAATGAAATGTTTACCTTAATAGTACAAAAATGTTCTGTAGTATAAAACAATTATATTAAATTAAATGATTTCGAAACAAAGTTGTAGTTAAAGGCAAGTGAATTGTGCAGAATTTGAAATAATTCTGAGTGAATTATTGTTAGAGCAATAGATCAAGGTAAACGGCATGTAAAATTAGTTTTATTTGATTTTTCAATTATTTAGAATCATTGCGAAGATGTAAANAAAAACAACTGGACAGTAATTTTTGTGCCATATTAACAAATGAGGAAATATAATTAAGAAAGTTTATTACAATGACCAGTAAACTGAAACCTAAAACTTTTTTACAGATTATAAACACATCAGTCATGGAGTTTGTCCAGGTAAGATTAAGAACAAATTCTTATTTTGATATAGAACGTAACAACCTAACAACTATGACATTATCCAAACTAAAAATGGGGTAATATTGTCCAAGTTTATGTTGTTAGCGTTCATTCTTTATCGAGTAAATAAAAACATATCGCCATCTGGAAATATTTACTGTTAACTACAGTTTTTCATTATGAAAGATATTTGTTATGTAATAGTTTGTGAAACTGCCTATAACAGATAAGTTGGAAGTTGTTAAAAAGAGTTCATGGTTTTTTGTTTCGTTATTCTTTAAGAATTATATTTCTGGATACCTGATAAAAAACAAACTTAGGAGATTGTATAATTCCTTTTTTAGTTTGGGTAATGTCATAGCTTTTACTGTTTTATAAGAATGATATAATTTGTTTTCCATCTACCTGGACAAACGCAATGGCTCCTAAGTTTATAATCTGCAAAAAACTGCACCTAACACTTGACTTTAATGCTTTTTCATATAAAAGTAGTGGCATACATACCTATTTCAACATTTTACAAAATTCTATCTCATTAGGATAAGAAGCTGAAAGGGGTTTGCAAAGATTGCATGTTTCTTTTTGGTCCGATTTACTTGAAAGTGGCTAAAAAATTCAATCTCTGTTGGGTGGGATGAGTGGTGAAAAGGAGTTGCAATGTTTAAATGGAACATGTACTATTTGTGGTCAGATTTACTTGAAACTTGGGCTTTCTGGTCTCTCATATAACTTCTGAAAGACCTATCTCGACATTTTAAAAAATTCAACCTCCAAAGGAGGGGAGAGGTAAAAAGGTGTTGCACTTTTTGTTTGGGACTTACTTTATTTGTGGTTGAATTTAGTTGAAACTTGGTATATATGCCGTTTGATATTATTAATCAAATGAAAAGAGGTTGCCACGTTTCCATGCGGTATATTTTATTTGTACTCGGATTTACTCGAAGGTTGTTACGTGTTTTGGAAATTTTTGCAAATCAACCCTTGAGGATGAAACGCCGTTGCTACGTTTGTATTCGAAATCTAAGATGACCACATTACATAAAATTAAACATTGTAAAGGTTAATTGAGAGTTAAAGGTTTTATGGAGAAACAATATTAATTTCTGCGAGCGTAGCCGCAGGGAAAAGCTAGTATATAGATATACTAAACTAACAAAAATAATCCAAGGTAATAATACATGTTTATTAAAAATTGTGGATTACAGAATGGAAGTTAAGTAATTTGTAAAAGCGTTTGGACAATAATATTGTTCTAAATTGATGTCATTTCCAAAAGTGTTCACTTTGCCTTTACACATCCACAGGTCGGTTGTCTCCCATCTGGACAGACAATGCTGCATGTTGGGTCTTTAAAACCAGATTTTACAGATTCTGTTGGAACAAAAATCGTTATTGTTAAAACAAGAATTTTTCTCATTTTGTTAAAAAGAGTTCATGGTTTGTGATTATTTATCTATACTCTATTACTTAAAATAGTGAAAGAATATTAAGTTCTTCTTATACCAAAACGCGATAACATACAATTAATAATGAAAAACTGTAGTTAAAGGTAAATATTTCTAGATGACGATATCTTGTCATTTACTCTAATGAACGCTAATAACATAAACTTTAAAAAATATTACCCCCATCTATAGTTTGGATAGTGTCATAGTTGTTAGATTGTTACGTTTTATATCAAAATATGAATTTGTTCTTCATCTTACCTGGACAAACTCCATGACTGATGTGTTTATAATCTGTAAAAAAGTATTGAGGTTTTAATTTACTAGTCATTCCTTATTTGGTAATTTGGCACAAAAAAAACTGTCTAGTTGTATATTGTTTTTTTATTTTAATGTGTTACACACCTTCTCCTGTAAGGCAATTCCATTCGACCAATTCACAATCGTTTCCAAAAGTTTTTCTAATTCCTTCCCCATTAACGCCACAAACAGGTTCATACTCCTCAGTACACAACAAACATTCTTCGCCCATCTTTAAGGGTCCTATTTCGGAATAACTCCAGGCTTGAGCCACGAAAACGGCTCCAGTAAAATTAATCAAAATTATTATAATGAATTTTATTAGCTGCAAGTAGATGAAAAGAAATTGACTTACCCAAAAATAATGCCGAAAGTATCTTCATACTGTTTTCTTATAAGGGAGATCTTAAATAAAAATAGAAGAACAAAGATTTACCTGCCTTTTATATGGTGGATGTAGAACTGATAATAAATGTAAGGAGTGGGAACGAAAAGAAAAAATATTTTTTTTAAATAAAATTAAATTAAATTATCTCTTGAAAGACAGAATTGTAGTGTCAGAGATTTATTGGCCATGTTCATTTTTTGTTTTTCTATACCTGACATAATCTCCTCTGGACTTTTAGTTTATTTCATCTCATTTTGAAATACATCTGACCTTTCAGTTATTCAGAAACACTGTGAAGACGCCTTATTTTATTTTGAAGTACAGCTATGTTATAGAAAACTAAACAACGAAAAACATAAATAATTTACTATCATGAATGAAAATAAAGAACATGTGGATTGCATATCTTTCA